CCCAGGAGTTGGAAGTTGCTGTGAGCTGTGATGCCATGGCACTCTACCCAGGGTGACAGCTTGAGGCTCTGTCTCAAAAAAAAAAGAAAAAGAAAAAGAAATGATAGGATTGATCAGTGAGTTTAGGTCGTGAAATTGGAAGGTTCTCTGTTAACCACTTATTCATTGAAGATCTTTCTAGAATCAGTTATCTGTTTGGAGGCTATAATATGGAGATTCTCTCATTTTTTTCTGTATTATTTCAACTGGAATTATTATGTAGCAAATTTTCCCTTATTAACTGAGGTGATATTGAATACTCTGAAAGTTTGAGCAGGAATGGTACAAGAAATGCTTTATTATGTCTCTTAAATTATAATTTTCAGAATCAGTTGGTGGCCTAGTTGTCTTTTTTTTTTTTTTTTCCTGAGACCGAGTCTCACTTTGCCCCTGGTAGAGTGCTATGGCATCATAGCTCACAGCAGTCTCAAACTCTTGGGCTCAAGCTCTCCTCTTGTCTCAGCCTCCAGAATAGCTGGGACTATAGGTGCCCACCACAATGCCTTGCATTTTTTTTAGAGATGGGGTCTCACTCTTGGTCAGGGTGGTCTTGAACTCCTGAGCTCAGGCAGTTTACCCACCTTGGCCTCCCAGAGTGCTAGGATTAAAGGCGTGAGCTTGAGCCCAGCCATGGCCTACTTGTCTTTAGTGGTGATTCATGAGTTCCGGTCGTTTGTGGGAGAATGTGGCTTTCTCTCTGTTTTAAAGTATCAGATTAAACGCAGTGATCTTTGTGTGTTTAGTTTGTTTCAGTCAGTTGCAGTTATTTATTTTGTTTCTCTTCACCCATCAGAGCCGCTTCATGTTGGCCTTTGCGTCTTTTTGCCATGATTCCAGTAGCCTATCAAAGACTTCTTTGCTTTTTGTCATAGTAAGATGTCTGAGGCTTATTTTATACATTTCCTACTCCTAACTTAGAGTCATTCCTTCCTTTAAGAAATACTGGTTTAGGCTCAGTACCTGTAGCTCAGTGGTTAGGGTGCCAGCCATATATACCAGGGCTGGCAGGTTGGAACCCGGCCCAGGACTGCTAAACAATGATGGACAACTACAACAAAAAACAGGTGTTGTGGTGGGCGCCTGTAAGTCCCAGCTACTTGGGAGGCTGAGTTAAGAGAATCGCGTAAGCCCGAGAATTTGAGGTTGCTATGAGCTGTGACTGCACAGTACTCTACCGAGGGCAACATACTGAGACTCTGTCTCAAAAAAAAAAAAAGAAAAGGAAAGGAATTCTCAGAATATTACAGGGAACCTAAAGCTAAAGTAATGCATCAAAGAAAGTGTGAGGTCTGCAGTCTAGAGACTTAAAAAGAGAACACGTGGCGTGGCTTCTGTAGCTCAGGGACTAGGGTGCTGGCCACATACACCAGTGCTGCCCGGCCTGTTTGAACCCAGCCTGGGCCTGTCAAACAACAGTGACAACTACTTCAAGAAAATAGCCAGGCATTGTAGCAGGTTGCCGGTAGTCCCAGCTACTGGGGAGGCTGAGACAAGAGAATCCCTTAAGCCCAAGAGTTTGAGATTGCTGTGAACTATGACTCCACAGCCCTCTACTGAGGGTGACATACTAAGACTCTGTCTCCAAAAAAAAAAAAAAAAAAGAAGAAAGAAATACTGGTTCTATGCTGGACTTTGTGTCTTATGTCTGTAATACTAGCACTCTTGGAGGCTGAAACAGGAGGATTGCTTGAGCTTAGGAGTTTGAGACCAGCTGAGCAAGAGCATGACGAGACCCTATCTCTACTTAATCTAGAATAAGCTGGGCATTGTGGTGGGTGCCTGTAGGCCCAGCTACTCAGGAGGCTGAAGCAGGAGGATTGCTTGAGCCCAGGAATTAGAGGTTGCTGTGAGCTAGACTGATGCCATGGCACCCTAGCCTGGGCTACAGAATGACACTCTGAGTGTCTCAAAAAAGAATAGAGGGAAGGATGTTAAGAAGGTAGGAAGAAAGAGAAAGAAATAAATCCAAGTTCCTTTTAGTGGGGAATGATATTTAGATATCACAGTCTGGGCTCGGGTATTATTTTTGGGGGGCTCTCACTACATCTAGGCTTTTTTGGTGGGTAGTGTTAAGAAATACATATTTTTGAAAAGAAGAAGATCTGTTTTTATCAACATTTCAAATTCTGATAGTGGATCGCATACTTAGTTTCTTGTTTTTACACTTATATCTCTTTCCCCATACACTGAAAGTCTTAGTTCCTAGCAACAGTAACTCTATTATGTATTTGTTTTATCTTCTTTATAGAGGATATTCATATTCTAATATGCATTAATAAGTAATGGTTTTACATTAGTAATGTTTTTATAATACTGTTGTCAGTAAGACTACTGACTAGCATTTAAGTTTTGTTGTTGTTTTTCTTTCCTAGTTCTTTGTCCTAATATATTTCTAGTAAGGATCTGCAGTCAAAATACTATATTTCATAATTCTTTACTGTCTGTGGTTATGCACAATTTGATATACAGTTATTCATTTGTTTCAATTTTCAGTTTTTTGAGATTGCATTTCTAACTTTAATGTTTTGAAAATGTAGATCATTTACCTAATTAGAAAACCAAAACTGTGTAAGAGATAGAGAGTCATGTCTTGCTCTTCCCTTTTAGGCACTCATTTTTATTAGGTTTTGGTTATTCTTCCAGTATTTTTTTTTTTTTTTTTT